ATCAGTATGATAGTACATGGTCTGCCTTTCTCAACTGGCTAACGGTAAAGTAAATTTGTAAAGGTCGGTATGGCATAACATATCTGTTGTATGTTTTACAAAACAAAAAACTCAATAAAATTTACATGAGAACAAGAGTCCAAATATCAAAAAAAATAAATAAAATTACCGCCAGGTGGACAAAAATCACACCATCTGGCGGGAAATCAGCCAGCTTTTTCAATTCACGCGAGAATGTGTACAAAACAACAAACATGGCGCCGGCAACGCTTCTGGGTTGTTTTCATCGAATGTCGTGATTTTAAAGTAATTTTGAGTGATAAATAATTTTTTTTTTGTGATCATTGAAAATTTGTACTTTCCCAACAATAAAAACTACTTGCCCCGGGCGATGGTTAACATTGAGCCCTGTCATCATAGGTGCATGTCCACTGTGAAAGACATAATCAAAAAAAATAATCTAGAAATCACAATATAAGATTTTAGAACTGTCAATTTGTATGATACAGCTGTTAATAAGTATCTGAACACCTATTTGGTACAGTAGCCTTTGTTTGCAATTACAGAGGTAAAACGTTTCTTGTAGTTTTTCACCAGGTTTGCACTCACTGCAGGAGGGATTTTTGCCCACTCCTCCACACAGATCTTCTCCTGATCGGTCAGGTTTCTGGGCTGTCGCTGAGAAAAGAGTTTGAGCTCCCTCCAAAAATTCTCTATTGGGTTTATTTCTGGAGACTGGCTAGGCCACGCCATAGCCTTGATATTCTTCTTCCAGAGCCAGTCCTTGGTTATCCTGGCTGCTTGCTTCGGGTCATTGTCATGTTGGAAGACCCAGCCTCCACCCATCTTCAATGCTCTAACTGAGGGAAGGAGGTCGTTGTTCCCCTAAATCTCGCAATACAAGGCACTAGTCATCCTCTCCTTAATACAGTACAGTCGCCCTGTCCCATATGCAAACACCCCCAAACCATGACGCTACCACCCCCATGCTTCACAGTAGGGAAGGTGTTCTTGGGATGGTACTCATCATTCCTCTTCCTCCAAACATGGTTCCTGGAATTATGACCAAAAAGTTCTATTTTGGACTAATCTGACCACACTCCTCTGGATCATCCAATTGGTCAAAGGCAAACTTAAGACGAGCCTTGACATGTGCTGGTTGAAGCAGGGGAACCTTCCCTGCCATCTGGACCTTTTTTCACCAAGCTGCTTGGCAATTTCCCCGTAGCCCTTTCCAGCCTTGTGGAGGTTTACAGTTTTGTCTCTAGTGTCTTTGGACAGCTCTTTGGTCTTGGCCATGTTAGTAGTTGGATTCTTACTGATTGTATGTGGTGGACAGGTGTCTTTATGCAGCTAACGACCTCAAACAGGTGCATTTAATTTAGGATAATAAAGTCCTCAAGGGTCAGAATTCTGGCTGATAGAATACTTAATTGCAGCCTTATCATACAAATACATAATTTAAAAAATCATAGATTGTGATTTCTGGATTTTCTTTAAGACGATCTCTCTCACAGTTGACATGCACCTATGATGACTATTTTAGAGCCCTCCATGATTTCTAAGTTGGAGAACTTGCAAAATAGCAGGGTGTTCAGATATTTATTTTCCTAATTGCACATCATCCTTCCATCAATCTTACACAGTGTTTCCATGTCTAACTCAGCAGTAGAAACTATTCCTCAAAGGGATTTTTAATTAGGGCTTATGAGGACATTCTGAGAAGATAAGAGGTTTATCTGCAGGAGGTAACAGTAAGAGCTTTATCAGTTTAGAGATCATGGAGGAAATCTCCATAAAACTCTTTTAAACTCTTCACTTTCTTCCTGATGACTTTGTTCAGCCTCACCTTGAAAAGCTCTNCCCTCCATGATTTCTAAGTTGGAGAACTTGCAAAATAGCAGGGTGTTCAGATATTTATTTTCCTAATTGCACATCATCCTTCCATCAATCTTACACAGTGTTTCCATGTCTAACTCAGCAGTAGAAACTATTCCTCAAAGGGATTTTTAATTAGGGCTTATGAGGACATTCTGAGAAGATAAGAGGTTTATCTGCAGGAGGTAACAGTAAGAGCTTTATCAGTTTAGAGATCATGGAGGAAATCTCCATAAAACTCTTTTAAACTCTTCACTTTCTTCCTGATGACTTTGTTCAGCCTCACCTTGAAAAGCTCTTTGCGGATTCGTCCCCTGAGGAAGTCTTTTACAAACTGTGTGTTCTCTGCTTTTTCATGAACCTCCTTGGTTCCTGCAGCCAGCATCTCAGACAGATCCTCTGGACTGCAATGGAGATTCCAAAAAGAAACAAAACGAAGCGATAAACTCACTTGTTCTCCAAACCTGAATCAGTCTGAAGTGTTTTTTTCTAGAAAGCAAACCAAATAATTGCAAACAGGTTTACCTGAGGTCACTTTCTTCCTTCTCGTATCCTGGCCCTGATCCATTGGATACATTGGTCTCCATCTTCTCTGCTGACATCCGCTGGGTTGACTGCTTTTTGGTCCAACCTGAAATTAGCTAATTTCAGCATTTTTGCCACATTGCAGCCACAAATTTCAATCTACATTATGAGGATACATTTATATTTACCCTCTTAGTTAATGTGTTGTAGAACTACAGCACATTTTATTGAGTGTTGAGGAGCATGTCTTTCACATGCACACCCAGTTTTTTTTTTTATTTTTTACTTTTTAGTCTTGCCTTGAGTTACATTAAGGTCTGTACTTTAACTAGACCTTGGTAGTTGTGGGTATATATATTTATGATTTGTCCTGGGAAAGGCAAACCTCTGTTCAGTCTAGCTTTTGGCCTCTAATAAGCTTATGATCAATGCTTGTCCTCTATTTACCTATTTACATCTTTCCACCTACAATTTACATCCTGAAGAAAAACATCCCCCACAGCATGATGCTGCCACCACCATGCGTGAGGGTGGTGGCCTAGTGGTTAGGGCATAGAGCTTGGAATCCTGAGGTTGTGAGTCGAAACCCACTGTCACTCTGGGTCTCTGAGCAAGACCCTTAACCCCTGATTGCTCCACTGGCGCCCCACGATGGCAGCCCACTGCTCCCCAAGGGGATGGGTTAAAAGCAGAGACAAATTTCTCTAATGTGAGATCAATAGGGCTGGGTAACAGAAATCGATTTAATCGTTTTGAATCGATTCCTTTATATTTTTGCAAAATCAACGTCAAGGGAATGAGATCGATTATTACATGGCGTTCACATTCAAATTAGCAGGAATGATGCACTCAAGATTACTTCAAGCCAAACAGCTGCAAATGTAGCCAATAGGTTGACTGAAGACGTTAACAAATGGGGGGTGACCAGCAAACAGCCTGTAGTTGTTACAGACAACGCTGCAAATATGGTTTGTGCAGTGAAGATAATGCAGCTCATGCATGTCTGAGTGAGTGAGGCTTCACTTTTCACAAACAAGTTTCTACTTATGAGACAGTTTTGTTCACATCTCAAGTTTAAACTGTCTGATTTACACGTTTGCACTTTGTGTTTAATATGACAGGAAAAAATAAAATACATGAGTATTTTGAAACACAGTTGAAACACTTTCATTACTGTAAAAACAGATTGAATCGAAATTAATCTATTTAGCACTTTATTAATGAAAATCAAACCGATTCAGAACTATGGCGAAAATACCCAGCCCTAGAGATCAGTAAAGTTCAATTATTGTTATGATTTGCAGTAATGTAAAGTAAGGCCTTTATTTAAAAGCTCTATTTATAAATGCAAGTCAGTATTGTTAATCTGCAGGTCACATAGTGCACCAGATTAAAATCAAATAAGATGCACATTATATTACAGAACCCATTAAAGACCACCCGTTAGGACAAAAAGCAATAATACTTAATATGGGAACTTAACTTTTAATTAATGATGAGTGTAAAGCTGGTGAAAACAGACACATATTAAGCTAATTGGCCTTCTTAAAGCCGCTGACCTTGGTTAAACCCAAAAGGAAAGCACCACATTGACTGTCAGCAAACACAATTGGTCTCTTTGGATCACAAAGGAACCTTTAAACAACATCCATGCTTGCATGGCGTAAAACGTTGAAACAAAAAAACACCGAAACACAGAACAGGCCTGATTTCTGGGGTTTTCCAGTAATCTCCGTCACTATGATGCATAAAGAAAAGCGTTTCAAAATTTTCTGATAAACTATTACAATGAAGCTCCTTTCATTTCGATATTTTAGAGAAATAATCCTGCTCCACTACAGTAAAGAACTAACATAAACTTGATGAAGCGTCGCTTTTACAACAGCTAACTTTACTCGCAGCTACGTGAGCTAAAAGCTAGCTAACAAATTAGTTATGATTAAAAAATAGTGACAACGTAACTGGATGGTAATAACATATTTTGCTCTTTTTTTCTATTGGTCTTAAAACAGTCAAGCAGAACAAACCTGTCCTCCTCCAGCTCAGTTCTAATGACTTATAAATTCAAAAACAGGATACGAAGCTCCGCGGAACAACTTTACTCTGAAGTGTTTGTTCCTACCCGGTTAGAACAGACATGCGATTCTCTACCGGAAATGATAGCGGAAATAGGTAGTTCCGGTAAAATAATTTGTAGTTTTAGGTGATAAAATAAATAGCATATTTTCTGCTTTCTACTAAAATCAGTTATTCTGTTTTACATGTTAATAAGTCAGCTGCCGCTTTTCCAATCTACATGTACTGGGTTGCATCAATTTAGATTAAATAAATGTAATTATTTTTATCACCAAATAATTAAGACAATTGCATTCATCTGATTTATTTTGTTTTCTTGAAGAACCACTAAAAATCTACCCCCCCTGAAATTTCACCACAAATTTAAAACTTAACAAATCTTCTTTACCAATGTCCGGCAGTTTTGATAAATGCATTATGATGGTGTGTTGCAGCCTCTCCCTCAATGGAAAGTTAATCCCTGTAATCTGATACTTCCACTTTTAAGGGCTAAACATAATCTTTAAAGATACATAAACCCTAGTCCTCACATAGTGGGGTTCATTGAAACCAGAGGTGTCAAAAGTATTAATGTTTATTACTTGAGTAGAAGTATAAATCCTACAGTTTAAAAATCATTTTCTATAAGTTACAGTATTATCTTAAGTTTTTTAGTTGAGTAAAAAAGCAAAAGTACCATTTTTAAAACTACTTTCCTGCATTACTTCTATTAAAAGTAGAAGTAATCCAGGAAAAATGTCAAGCACTGACGCTTTAAACCTTATACTGCACTACCCTATTAAAGAACATTTTTCTATAATTCTGGATAACCTCCTTATGCTTAATTTTCTTAGTTTATAACTAATGGTGACTGTCAAATTTAACTTTGCATCATCTTGAAAAACAATTTATTTTGGTATGTAATGAACAACAAGTTTGTTGCAGCACCGATTTCAACCACAAAGACATGAATTGTCTGGATGAACGAAATTATTTTGATGGTTTTTATTTTTTTAAATACAAACAAAATAAACAAAAATAAAAATAAATCAAACAAAACTAATGAGTATATCATTAAAATGTTAGAAATTAGAGATATTTGCAAAAAATGTAAGGAGTAGAGGTAAAGAGTTAAAAAAAATTACTCCAGTATAGTGTAGATAACCAAAATTTCTAATTAAGTAAGGTAACAAAGTATTTGTACTTCATTTGGAGCCGTTCTGTAGATATTCCATTAGGTTATATCCAGGTAACGTCTTCCTATGAGCGAACGAGTTGAAGGCACAAACTAAACTGTTCATAATTTGGTCTTTACGGTACGCCAGCATTCATAACAAGTAGGTGAATCACTGTCCCACAGACGTCTGCGGTTATATTTTTTATATTTCTATTTTTTTAAAACAAAGCGGCATGTGTATGACGTCATAAAAAAAAAATGAAATTAGAAAAGTTGTAATATCCTGGAATATGTTTCCTTTACATATAAATATATCTGTACAGATTTATATGTGCACAATAAAGAGCTAAGGAAAGACTATATAGTAGTGGACTTGGATTATTGCACTTGTACTGCAGAGATGTACTGACCTTATAAATAAGAGAGAGAAGAATATTGCACGAGTAACAATATTAAATGTTTTGCAAAAGATGTCCAAAGAGTGCTGACCCTTGTCCCTCTTCCTATCACCTGCTCCTTCCCCTAATTGAGGAGTTGTACAGCTTGATGGCTTGAGGAACAAAGAAGTTCTGCAGTCCTGAATTTGGGGAGGAGCAATCTCCCACTGATCAGGCTCCTCTGAGTGGTGAAGATCATGTGCAGAGGGTGGCCGGCATGGTCCATAATGTACAGCAGTTGTTAAGTGTCCTTGTCTCTGCCTCTCCCCAGAGGGTCCAGCTTCTTGCCAATCACAGAGTCTGCTTGCCTAACCAGTTTGTTCAGTCTGGAGGTGTCCTTCTTGGATGTGCTGCTCCCCCAGTGTAGAAGAGGACACTGGCAACCACAGACTGGTAGAATATCTCCAACAGATAGTTGCAGATGTTGAACGAAGAAATTACAAAGAAATTACAAGCAAAATACCATCTACTTTTCTTTTGTGCCTATTTCATAACAACACTCTAAAAAGGATTTGACATTGAAACATTGATAATTATGATTGTAATATGTTAGTATCTGTATTACAAAGATTCAGCCCATGTTTTTGCTTCACACTGAATCAAAACATACACACTAAGCAACAACAGACTGGCTTCAAAGGCTATTCAAAAACTTAGTTTTTTTTTTGCTGAGCCAAGAACTATTTCTGACCATAAATTACCTCAGATGGACAAGGGACAAAAGATGTTGTGATAATCCAACAGATCTGGAAGCAATTGCAAATAAATATATTGCCAATTAAGGATGAGGATACAGAAAGACTTCTTCCAAAGAACAAATTATGTTCTTTTGTTGTTTTTTAAAAATCAGAATGTATATGTAAATGTACGAATACTGCTGTTTTTTTGCATTTTTGTTATTTCTAATAAATGAATTGGTTTCTCTGTATTTTTTCCAGTTGAGTTGTGTAAAAGAATAAATGTCACACTACACCGGAAAAGTTTTTAAATGCGTTTGACTGCTGTGATCTGTCTTTTTCTTTTCAAATGTCAAAAACTTGATATTTTAATGGCAGAACATAAAATTGTTAGACTCACTGTATTAGCAGAAGATTTTGCATCTCAATCCAAAAGTAAAAGCATTCATAAAAGAACAAATCTAAACAAACAAAATTTAGCGATTTGTTGCAGTTGGTTACACTTTATTAGATAAGACAGCTTTTAAACACTTGGTATTATGAACAAAATTTGAGTGCACTCTATTATAATGGAACCAAATTAGTACATATAAAACTGAATTTGAATCTCTCTTTATGATTGGGTTGATGTGATTATATTGATTTGATCGATATGTTTTGCAAATTATCTTAACTTTTTTTCATCTGAGATTATTGACATTTTTAATTGATTAATATTGTATACATTTGGAAAGTGAAAACAAATGACCAAATCAGCACTGTGTTACATTTGCTTTACTAATAAAAATAACTAATCTCTCTCTAACAACTTATACAGATCTATGTTTAAAAAGTGATTTTTTTCTAGTCTTTGTGCATATGAGAATAATACATGCTCTGCAAGGATTAAGGAGCGGATGGCAGGAAGCTGAAGCGACCTGTCTATCATTTGAAAATATGCCTGTCTGTTTTCTGCAGATATGTGTGTGCATGTGTGTGTCCCTGTCTGTGTAACATGTGTGAACATGGATGCATATGTAGTTGTGTGACTGTCGGAGCCTGAGATCAGTCTGGTGGAAGGATGGAGTGTCAGATGCTTTATTAGCGGGGCAGCAGGGGTGCCTCCCCCACCCCCTGCTACCACAGGAGGCCAGCGGGAATGAGATGAGCTAACAGGATGAATCACGCCTCGCCAGTTGGGCCAGCAAGCTGTTGCTATTGAAAAAAAAAAACACTTTTAGAACATTATTTATTCCACTGAGGCACAGTGCTTTGCAGAAAAATGTATACTCTCTTAAATCTAAAAGGTTTTGTTTTGTTGCACCATAAATGTAATTTTTTTTTTTACTGGAACACAAACCTTATGTGAAACGGGAACAAGTGGTACGTCAGAGTGAGGTGGAAACCATATGACACACAGTTTCAGAGACTATTTACAGGTAGAAATCTAATAATTGGGCTCCAGAATTCAATCCAGCATAATAAACCACCTTCAGAAACGACCCTTAATGGGAAATAAAGCCCACTGCTAAACACAGCAGTGAATGCCTCAGTGGTCTGTTAAAGAGCATATAAAGGATACAGCATCATGAAATACAGCAGAAAGGCAGGGGTAAAGGATGGATGTTTTCAATTTGCGATTGTAGGACTTCATTTCTATTTCTATTAGTTAGTCCCTCTAAATATACCCCACAGGTACAATGGTTTGATTTATGGTCAAATTGGCAGCACTGCTTTGGATTTCTTTGGAGTAAAAGTTTTGATTGGGAAGTTATTATGTCTCCATACACTCTACCTGGTCCTGCAGTACTAAGCACTCTGTTGAATGGCTTATATTGATTAGCAACACCCATTCTTTATGGTTTGCCCACATATTTCCCGTGATGCAGCATTAGCAGAGCTTTTGATATCTACTAATATAAAAAATACCAGTAGCTTTGAAAACATATTTCCTCCTTTGCATGCTTCTCTTTTTGTTGTCTTTCTATCAGACTTAAATATTTTAGATCCGATTTTTAAATCAGAGAAAGATAACTTTGTTGAATATAATTTTATTTAACAGGAGAAAGAAATGGCTTAATGGGAAGAAAAAAATAATCACTCTATTACATATTAACTGTTTGGGACTCTTTTGGCAACAGCAACTGTCATCAATTTGTAATAATGTTAAACAGAATAATAGAAATATAATTTCTTGCTCCCTAGAGGATTGTTTTTAACCTGACAACAGCCAGATGCATGTCTAGCTCCGCCTAGCTCCTAGATGCATCTGGCTGTTGTCAGGTTAGATAGTTTTGCAGACAAGCAAACATGCAGATTGTGAACATATAAAAACAGAAATAGTGAGAGTGGGCAATAAAGGCAAATTTACAGAAAAAACTAAGAGTAAGGGGGAAAATATTTGCCAGTTGTCTAAAATGGTACACTCAGATTTACTAAAAAGAGCAAATTAATTATATAATTATTTTTTTAAAGTGCGACATGCCCATTTAAAAAACACTAAGAGTATATCTACAAATAAATAAATCGGTAAAAGACTATCATTTTAAACAAACGGTTCAAAATGATATAAAACTTTAACGAAGAAACAAATCCACAACTACAAATATGTAATTTTGCTCTTAGTTACAGAGTGAAAACATCATCTTTATGGTTTAAATCCATTTACACAAACAGCGTCCCCAGTTGCCACGGCAATTCTCGCGAGAACTGAGAAATTAAGACCTTTGAAAAGTTTATTAGTTAATTATAATATATTTATATCATAATTTTGTTTTGTTTTTCATGTATAAAATCACACATCAACTGTAGAATTACGATTTTTTCCCCCTCGAAAATGTTGATGTAATCTTCTTTTTGACAAGCAGCAGGTAAAACTTGGCTTCCGCATCCGTTAAGTGTGTTTTCGCGGGTGAAGAATTTTCCTTAACCTGCGTGTTTATCGTATGTTATATCTCGCAAAAGTTGTACACACGGTTATCTCTTATCGCTGGTCCAGATGTTTAAGTTTTGCTTTTATACAAATATCTCCGACAGAGCCTTTTGAGAAGCATGTCTCTGCTGTCTGCGGTTCAGGACGCTATCGAGACATATAAGGTCGAACAAGCCAAACTAAACCGCAGCATTCAACTTTTCAAGGAAATCTTAAACAGCCTGTGAGTAGTATTCTTCATAATTGTGCATTAGTACACTAAAGACATAAAGAACAGTTACACAATATCTGACACTTTTCTGCCTTTTTATCCTGCCGTTTTGGGGAGGTGGCGTATCTGGCGCTGTGGCTTAGTTGGTTAAAGCGCCTGTCTAGTAAACAGGAGATCCTGGGTTCGAATCCCAGCAGTGCCTTTTGCTGCATTTGTTTTTTTTTTTCTTTCCTGTGTTTGCTCTTTTTCTATTATTACTATAAAAGAAAAGAGATAAACCAGACTCCATATTTTTTATAGACATAAAAATACAGTGGCAAATTTTTTTTTATTTTTTTATGAGTTGTATTTAGTAAATCAACTCTTTAAAAAGTCAAATTACTCTGTGTTACTAATAAAATCTCTTATCCTAAACATATACTTTAGGCATGAGCTGCTATGGGATTTCTTTAAGATTGTTAGTGGAGGAAAGTCTACAGTATCCAACCTTGTAACCAAACCTAACTTTATTTTAGATATATACTAACATCTTAATTTTGATAAACCCGTGTTAAATAAATGTAAAGGCATTGGAGCTGTTAATATCTATTATAATTTTCCTTTGCCTTTTTTGTTAGTTGTTAATCCTTTATGTTGTTTTCTACCTCTGTTAGAGGTAAATAACAGTTTAGTTACTTATTTACCCCCCAGGACACCACAAGCAGAGGAAGGCACTGAAGTAACACATACAAAAGAAGATGCTGCTGCAGGTAACTGTATTTAAAAAAGGCAGAGTTTGATGATTATTGATAGCACTGGAAGCATTTTCCCCTTTTAAAAAAGAATTTTCTTTAGTTAAAAAAAAACACCATTATTTATATCATGCAACACAGTTATTTCCTGAAATAACTTAACTGTGGCTGCATGCTGCCCTTTTCAGATGCAGAGTCCTCAAAAGCAGAGAGCGAAGATATAGAGCTGCTTGAACGAGCACTGGAAAAAGCCCTCCGGGTCCGGACCTTCTCAGAGGTGTCTAAACAAAACTGCAGCAGAAGCAAGCTATCTGCACAAGAAACAGAAAACAAGCTATCTGCACAAGAAACAGAAAACATACCGGCTCTAACCGCAGTGACTAAAGATGTTCAACCAACCATCAAGTCAATCAAAAAACCTGTCAGCCTTCATAGGAAAAGGGACAAAAAGTCTAATGTGTCACTTAGCTCAAAGCCTTCAGCGGTTCAAAAACCAGAACAGTCCAAGAACCCAATCCAGCGCCATCCCTGCTTAGAGGCTGGGGCTGGAAATCACCAGGCTGCTAGGAGATTGCAGCAGGCTGTATTGGCAGGATCTGCCTCCCCTGATCAGATGACAGCCTTGCAGCCTAAAAACAAGGCAGTCAGAAGCAATCTGCAAAGAGACAATGCCCAGAGCAAAGCCGTGCCTTCTTCAGTTAATACAGTGTTCTTTTCAGGGACAGATGGGTCTGGTGTTGACACTTTGCATCAACAGAGTGGGTAGGTTCTACACAAGTGGGCTGTGGAAATAATCATGTTTTTTATTTGCAATTAAAGAGATAAAATTGCTTTGTTTTGCTTTGGGGCAGGGGACTTTCTGTACAAACTACAAAATGGAAATCGTTGAGGAGAAAACAAAACAGGTTGCTGAGTACAGTTTTTTTTATTGTATCATGTTATTGCAAAGTGTGGAGTTATTGTCTGATATCTGACTTTTCTTTCTGTCTTTTAACTCTAGATTGTGGGAGAAAGTGATGACCCTACAGACGAAGCCTGATCCTGGGAGGAGTCACTTCATGCAGAGAATGAGGGCTACGGTATATTCTGCTTTTAAATATATTTTTAAATTCCCAAATGTTCCTTTTTAAAATCGGTTAATTCATACATGATAACTTACGAAAATATTTATACCCCTTTGAACCTTTCAATAATTTAATGGCACATGTCAATGAACTTCATTAGGATTTACATTTACAAAGCAACAAGAAGAATTACACAAAATAAACAAATGTGCCGTTCAATGAGCTTATACTAAAACCATCCATCATCATCCTTAGAGCTGTCAGTAATAGGAAGAATGTCTTTGCTCATCTAGAAACAAAATTTTTGTCCTTTTCTTTCAAAATATCTTCAAAAAGGAGATGTCTGAGAAGGTTTTTTTTTTTTTTTTTTACTTTAAATGGGCCATTTTAACACGTAAACATTCTTTGATTCAAATCATTCCATCTTAGCTCTCTGGTTGTCTGTTTAGGGTCCTGCTGTGTTCCTTTATCATGAGAATATCTGTTTGTTCATTATTGTCCTCTATCAGACCTCTGAGGCCTTTACAAAAAGCTAAATTTATTCATTTATTAATGATTTATTTATAGGTTTACTTTCAATTAAGTAACTTCTAAGTGTGATTAGTTGCACTGAATTTCATTTAGAGCTATTCTGGGTAAAGGATGTTTAAATTACAGAAACAAAGGGCATTTATAGGGGTTTGCAAAAACAATAAATCAAGAACCATATATATTTTCTAGCTATGATCTACTTTGCATTGTCCGATGTGCACTAAAACAAATATAAATCTCTTTTTTTTTTTTTATTAGGAAGCAATGCACATTACAGTAGAGATGTGTGTCGATGTGCACATCCTTTTCACATTGGGTAACAGTATTTAACAACATTTACATATCGGCATCATAAAAAATATTGTGCAACTCAAACAGTTGAGAACAAGGCAAACAATCGACCTCCAAGGGTGTTTTTGTTAGTTAAATCGTACGAACAGTACACCACACAACTGAAAAAATAAAAAATTAGCAAAACAACCTAAATAAAAAACAATTATAGAGCGAAATAATAAATATTGTGATAGTAACAACTAAATAGCTGAGGATCTAATTAAGCTAAAATTAGTATAAAATAAAGTCACCCAAGAAATCAATAAATAAAAGCAATAAATAAAAAGAAATAAATAAAAAAAATTCAGTAAAAAAAACAGGGGGAGAGAGGGGTCAATCAGAGGGAAGGGACTGAGGATGGTAGAATGTAAGAAAGGGAAGCCATTTGTCATAAAATTTATCAGGATTACCTTTCACTGAATATCGGATCTTTTCCAAATTCAGAAAAGACATGGTGTCATTGAGCTACTGGGTACTGGGAGGGTCTTTAGTCGACTTCCAGTGTAAAAGAAGGCGGCATCTTGCCAATAATAAAGTAAATGCTAAGATAGGTAATTAGTTAGAAGTAAACCGCTTGTGGTCCTCTGGGAGCCCAAATATGGCAACGTGGGGGGAGACATTTATAACCACAGAAAGTATTTTTGCAATGGTATCAAAGTAATTCAACCAAAAGCAAGAAAGTAGTGGACAAGAATAGAGCATATGGGATAAGTAGACAAATGTAAATCTAAATAATAAATTTAGGTGCTTTTTTTCTTTATTTGAGGAAGTGAGACACTTTGCCAAAGGTACAAGACAATTTACATTTAAAATAAGAAAAATATTATTTCAAGTGCATATTATCTAATTATATTATTTTAAGATTAAAAATACTAATTCCATTGGCAAATCATATTATTTACCTACTCAAATAAAGGGTAAATGCACATACCGTAATTTAATACATTTTTGCTTATTTCTAGATAATTTTTGCAGTGAAGGATCTTGTTCTTATGTTCTCTAATGTGGAACGGTTCAGGGATTATGACCGGTGCTGTAGTTTTATTACACTGATCGTCCTTCATTTGGTTCCCCGTCCATTACTCTGACCCCTTTAGTTTCCTGACGATTGGCCGTGTGGCAGTCCGGATGAGACCAGGTTTCTACTCCACAGCATAACTGACCAAGGACTCAGCCTAGCACAGCTCTATCGGACCGAGGAGATTCTCATCAAGCAGCCACTAGAAACGGAGGCTGAGCTCCTGGGTGAGAAATACAAGCAATAAAAACCAAGAGTGCAATAATGAGTAGAAATGACATGGAGTGATGAGATTTGTATCTTAGTGTGGATATCTGTGGTTAACCACACCACAGTTGGCAGAAATTGACTATTTCCAGGGTTTTAGATCAATTGATGTTTAGTTTTGAGCATTTCCCTTTTTTGAAACACAGCTGGGGCTTCTCTCCAATTATTTCGGCTATTATGAGCCCTTCATAACCTGCCAGCAGAGTGCTAATTGCAGCAGTGTTGCTCTACCCTTGCAACACATCTGTCAAATTAAACCTGCTTTTTATTATCATCCTCCACAGGTGAGGAGCAGAGCAAGTCCCCTTCCTGTCCTACAATTGAGCAGCTGCAGCTGACAGCAGCAAAACTCCACCTTTCTGCAGATAAAGTGAAACAAGGTAAAAAATCTTATATGATGAGTAAATATGGCAGTGCCAGTTGGAAATTGAATTTTTCTATCATCTTAAATCTGCATTTTGTCAAAGTGCATATACTGATCTCAGTACTTTTAATGTAATAGGTGTAACAGCACTGAACTATTTCAGCATCCAGCTAAAATTTATGTAAACTTTATAAGGATAAGTATTATAAGTATTTCTGAGCCAGGATCATGAGACACATCATTTTTTAATCTCTTGCTAATGTTACTGAAAATCCTTAGTTTGCATTTTCTGGTAATATGTCCTGATATAACTTTAGAAAACATAAATAATGATGTCATGACTTTTAAAGCTTCTAATGGGTTAATACATGAGATCTGGATTAACTGGAGGCAGGTTTGTTGGAGCGTTTTTGAACAACACTTCAAACAATCTGCTTTCCATAAAAAAAAATCTGTTAATTCAAAATAAATCAGTGGCTAAGTCATTTTCATGCATAAATATTATTGCTGTTTAGGAAGGAGAGAGGCTTTGTGTTCTAGAGATGAACGATACAAAATGTGCACAGTAATCCTAGAAGGAGCAAAAAATAATAAATCTCTATGGACAAGTCAACTAAAGCTGGTAAGAGTTGTTACCTGCAGTGAGTCCTGCACCAATATGGGCTTTAAGGTAAATCGATCAGGAAAAAGTTGTGATTGCATAAGAAAATAGAAACAAATTACAGTTTTTAAATGTCCTCAAACCAATAAGCTCCATTAAGGAGTTTTAGGAATTTAAAAAATAGATAATTCTGTAAAAATATTACAGCAACGCTTCAAAAAAATATCACCTAAAAATGTTATTGTGTAAATAACAACAGATTAATCATTTGAACCTTTTGAATGATCCCATTACTTTCTGGGAAGGATGTTTGTTTATCAGTCTGTGATAAATATGTTGTTAGAGGCAGCATGATGGAGACGTTTCCAGTTAATTCTAGGATCCAACACCTTCTATGTGAAGGGGGCTGAATGTATGCAATAGATCTGACAGTATTTAGTTTCATCTCATTTTAGAGGGATTTAGGTGGTGTCATTTGACCATCATTTGAAGGATGGTTTTACCATTGGCAGTGCGCTAACGAGCTAATGTGGATGTCAGCCTTAGCATGTGGAAAATGAAAACAGACCCTCAATAAAACCTTGGTGTCAGATCAGTGCTTTGCTTGGCTTCATCCATGACCCCCCTACCCTGGTGGTGGCTGAGCAGAGGTCTGTTTATTTAAAGCCGAGACTGCAGAGCGAAAAAAATAAAAAAAATCTTGGGGTACGGTTGCTGACGCTCTAAAAATAACCTGGTTTTTCCGTCAGAGTGGAAAGCATGGGATCGATGGAGGCCAGAAGGAGGCTGTCTTTGCCCGTCTGAGACAACTGGTGGGTTCAGAGATGGGTCCTCTTCACCTCTGCCCATCACCATAACTTACAGAACGGAGCAGGAGCTCCAGCAGCTGGAAAGGCTGCGGATGAGAGTGGCACTGCTGCAACAAGAGATCTACCTTGAACAGGTAAAGATGGTGTTTCCGTTTTAACTGTGAAAACACTCTAATAATTTCTTTTTTTTACTGTTAGCCATGAATGATCCTATAGACTCTACGTCTGCTTGTCAGGTGCTGTTGGACACTGTATCCCCTCATCTTTCTTCCATCAGACCTGGACCTGGATGTCCAAGCCCCAATGTGCTCAGAGACTTATACTCCCTGCTTGGTGAAGGAGGGCAGCGTTTCACTGCTATTGTTCAGGACTCTGAGCATGAATGATTCCTGAAATTGTACCACTGGGAATAAACAGTCAAAAGCTTAGCAACAGAAAAACTTACACAAGGAATCAACAGCAGTGCAATGAAAGCAGAAGAGTCACTCTAATTATTAGAAGATCAATTAAACCAATTAAAATGGGAGTAAATCGTATTAAAATATCCTTTGAAGTTTCCCTGGTGAACGAAAGTGCCTGAGCTCTTATTGATGAGCTTTCTGTTACGCATCAGTGCTACACCTCTCCTCTGATCATTCAACAGATAACCTAGAGATGAAAGCAGGGTCCAGTTTCTTTTAATGTGTCTGTAAGAGTTTAACTTCTTTCCTAAAGCAGAAACTACAAGACATGTCAGCTGTCGCTCACAGATGGTCTCCATCTGTTCTGACTTGAGTTTGAGCCGTTTTGCATTTGATTTGTGATGAACTGCAACATAAATTGATTCTAAGGATACTGATTTAGGGGGGATTAATTAAAATTGCAGAACTAGATTTTAATTAATTAAGGTTTGACTTGCCAAATATCTGTAAATCATGTTTGGATTTCTCTTTATATGCATAAATAAATACTTATGAAATCCTCTGAAAGTTGTAAGCTGACTAAGATAGAATTTCAGGTTCAAAAGGTTTTAATACTTTTAAGGCATGTTATGTATTCCTCTGCAACAACCATCCCAAACATTAAGTTTCATGGAAACTTGTCATATCAAGAAATAACTAATTATCATTTAAACATGGTAATTATAGGATGCCCAGTTTTGCTAACCTAAAAACATTGGCAAACAGATCTGTACTTAACCCTTTCTATGGCAATCAGTGAAATAATCCAAATTTCAAGCCAATATTTTTATTGGAATCCAGGATAAGACCTTATTACCTTTGTAACATTAAAAAAATATGGATATTTTGATTGCAAGAATGAAAGTCAATGTAATAACAAGAAATGCCAACTTGCCCGAATAAATTAAGAAAAATAACAAAAATGCTTCTAGAAGAAATATGAGTGAAAAAAAACATAGTTTATAAACCTAAATATAATTTTTAACTAGGCTTATTAACTTTTTAACTTTTCAATTAGCTTTTTACCTTTTTTATGACTTAACTTTTTTTTTTTTTTTTTTACACTTAATTACCAGTAGGTAAGGGCTCATCCTATTAGTTAAATGCCAAAATAAGACATACAGCCATGTAGCAGCATCTTTGCTGAATAGCTGGATATAGATTTTGTGCTTCTAGACCTGTGCAAGTGATCAAAAATAGTAACTTGCCCTTTAAAGGATTAAGGAACAAGTTTACATCCTGTTTTCCTCTGAATAGCTGCTTGGATACATGAAAATAAATTAAGTGTTCCTGTGTTATCTGGTTTTGGCTCTGATTTAAATATACAGCCAGAGCTACATCTTAAAGGTTTACAATCAAAGCTTAGTTAGGTGTTAAAATGGCTTAGTCAAAGTCAAGGCCTAACTTAATTGAGAAACTGTGACAACACTGGATTTTATTTTGGTATATTAGAGTAGATTGGGTGAATATATATTCATTCCATTCCATAGCTAGTTTTTTGTCTATCACATAAAATCCCAGATAACATGAATTTTGTCATGGTTATTAAAGTGTTTGCTGTGTACTGCAGTTACCTGCTATGCCAGCAGGTGGCACTCAACATGAGAGGTGACCACTGGCATCACTCCATAGTGTCAAATGTTATTAGTGTAGGAATTATTCAATCAAAAACCTGCATATTGTGAATGGACTGAGTCCATGCTCCTGATTAACAATAGGATGTCAGACTTCCTGATTAACAGGTTTATACTGGGGTGCTAAATAGACATTAACCTCCTGCTGTCTGGCTTTATTTAATGTGTGTATTCTGTGGAATAAGGTTAAAAGGCACCTCCACCATTACGCCTCATGTTTCACCATATGTTTTTCATTTCCACATTATGTTTTACGTATAAACATTCTCAGCCCATATGGGTCCAGCACTATATGTTTATCATGAAATCTCTCCATTTCTTGCCTGTTTTAAGTGTAATGTGAAGGCTATGACGTGTGGACAGCAGGGGCTGTGGCAGATTCCGCGACAGGTGGCGCTGGGTTCACACAGCAGGGCGTGGGTGTCTGAGCTCTGCCACACACACAAACGTAGGGGACACCCACACCCAGGCTGAGTCACAGACGATGCGCTCAGGGACCTGACTCTCTGCAAGCTGGAAATCGCATGTTTCCCCGAGGAGAGAAAGAGAAATAAGATTAGAAAAGAGGACTATTTTAGTCTCAGGTAGCCTGTTGCTTTAAAGCAAGAGGCTCACAATAATTCTATTGACTAATCCTGTTAGAAAAGCTGGTATTAGTAAAAGTGTCAACAAATATAGCAAAAAGCTGCCTTGAAATACAGCTGTGAATGACTGCATTAAAGAGGAGAGAAGGAGCATGCAGGGAGGCATGGTGTCAACACCAAACATTGGTCCCTCTGGGAGAGGCGCCTATGCAGCTCAGCCTTCCTCTGACCTGCGTACATCAGCATCTGCCTTGCTCTGGCTGTCACCAGTGAGCTCCCCCACTCCCACCAGCATGCTCCAGCCCTGCCCAGTTTACTTTCATTCTCTCTGTCCCTTATTTTCTCACGCCTATTTTAGTCTCATAATGGGAAAATCAGAAAAATTGTACTTCCTAAGAAACTCCATGGAAGTAGGCCTACCTCTGGATCTCACTCATATTCCCACACTTGGATAGATTAGCTCATACATTCCTTCTTACGTTTCTTTTCTTCTGGCTTTCCTTTTTTAATCTGAGGCAAAGAAGTGCAGCAACGAATCCAGAGAAACAAAACCAAGCTAGAAAGAATCCACTTCTCTCTGAATGCCTCTTGCTTTAGAGATTCCAGTTTCCCACTCCCTCTTTCCTTCACAAACACATTCTGTACTTTCCCTCTTTTATTTGTCTTTGGTTCATGAATACGTCTTTAGCTGGGTGAGCTGCTTGTTAACTCTCTGTTTTGTTTTATATTCTCCCCAAACAATTAGTCGGTTTAATCCCCCTCTTTCCCTCTGGTATCCTAACACCAATTTTCCTGCACAGACAGAGCCATGCATGTCATTTAGAGAGGAACATTAGGAATATGTTCATTTGTTTCTTTTATGCCTTTAATTATCAGCAGTGTGTCTGTTGTGTCGTACTAATGGGGGCCACATAAGATCACGCACTTTTACGTTTCTGTTTTGTTATTTAGTTTATTTGATGTAATAGGTTATAGTTATAGAAAAGAATTATAAAGGTGATAAAATAGTACAGGACTGTAAGAATAAACATCTGAATGGTCTTGCTTTGGCTTTCAGACCCTTTTTCCTAAAATCCCAAAATTCAATTCAGTTGTCTTTAAAAGTCGTGGCATCAATAAAATGAGCCCTGAGTGCTTAAATGAAAAAATATCTGGACTTCTCTTACCTTTTAAAGGCATTTCTGATCCTAAAAGTTTCTTTAGTCTAAGTTTACAGAAATTAGACTCAAAACTTTTGGTCACTTGTAATCTGTATTTATTAGTCTACCTGTTGGGAGTTAAAATCAGTAGAAACAAGGCTGTTCTGTGAAGGCATCAGAGGTTAGTAAAGAGGGAAGAAAGATGTTGAAGGACAAGTAAAAGGGTTGAGACCAGTCAGATGAGACCTGTATGTTTCTGGACTCCGTGTGGGCAAGAACCAACAGTGCTGATCCCCCTGAACGCGTCATCCCCAAAGTGAAACATGATGGTGGCAGCATCATACAGTATGATCATCAGGGCTCCTCTCCCCTCTATAAAAAGACATCATTTCAATTGACTGTTCTCCCTGCTTCCCTCTGGGAAGAGGCTTCACAGCATTCAATGCAGGACCAGCAGCTTCTGCAACAGCTTTTCCCCACTGCCATCAGACTGTTGAACTGTTGAAAACTCTAATCCAGTTACAAATCAAGACTCTGCATCAAACTAATAACATTATACTTGCACTATATGGTGAATCTTCAAAATCAATTTTTCTACTGCATTTTGTACCATATCTATTTTTATTTTGCACTGCTTTGAACCTTCATTATTAATGCCTTTTGCATCATGTATCTCCTACATGTCTCTCCTACCCTGTTTACATTTGATCACTGCTGCACTTAAAGAAATGGAAATGTAATGTACGCTGTACAAAACCCTGTCTAATTCTTCATTTTCACTGCTAAGCTGCTGCTCATTCATTGTCGGAAAGCTGTTTGTCACAAAATTTTTCTTTGTATACAAAATGACAATTAAGTTTGTATAAGTATGAAGGTTTTCAGTGGCATCTCCATCATATTTTGAAGGGTCGTTTATACTGTAGACTTTTTATGATCTGGATTAGAACATGCGAGTAAAAGACAGTAGAGTATTCAAGGAGTATTATTGTGTTTAGAGAGATTAGAGACAAGCGAGAATGCATAATGGGCGGGTACTGAAAGGTGGAGGTGCAAAACATATTGTTTCAAATGAAATAATGAAACTAAATGGTAGTTTTTCCCTTTTCTCTCTTAGAACCATACAGAACTATTGATAATGTTTATACCTATGTCCTTCTGAGCACTGGGAAATGTTTTTCTTCACAAAGATAGATGCAGCTAAACGGCCCCATCATGGAAGAAAAGCTTCTAGAGGTTGCCTGTAACTGTGTTAGAGATTCAATAGCCAATGAAATAGGAATGATTCAAATAATATTTGTCCAATCAAAGGTTTATAATGTGGTCCATGTTCAGATGCTCTCCGTCCAGACAGACTTGACTTGAATTTGAGCTGTTTTGCCACACAAACAATCTGTTAAGGTTTGAGAAGAATCTACACATTTCCTTACACCTTACAACCAGTGTAGGGCAAGCTGCCTATAAAATATAATGAGTTAAGCTACAAGTTATTTGATGTAGAAAACTGGGATGTCACGACCACGCTAATGAAAAATGTAGTCTACCGTCCATCACTGCTTACAACTAAGTACTGCTGTGGGATTTTTCATTACAATTTCAATAAAACACTCATGTTGTTTGCATGTTGAAACAACATTTTTTAAACATTTATTTTTTTCTTGGTCCTTTCTTTATTTCCACAAACCGCTGTGTCACTTTAAAAGGCCCCGTTAAATCCAGGAATGCCTCAAGATAAAGGCAGAAATCCAGATGTGTCCTTGTATTTATCCATTCCATGCATATCAGCCACAGAGAAGAAAGCTTTCTTGGCTGATGTTATTTTCACAGAAAAGCGACTCATGCACACTGAGGGATTAACTACAACCAGGTTGCCTTCATTCAGAAAAAAAAACTGACTGAAAGAGCTGGAGCTTACTGTGTGTGTGGGTGGGAAAATAA